CCTTGGTTAAGACAAGAAAAGACAAAAACTTCTAGCCTCTATGTCAAATTGAATAGACACGCCCCGTAGGGGTAACGTGATAAAAAGCAGCTTGCTCGTTTTGATGCTTTCTTAGTGCTTGAAAGCAGTTAGTCAAAAAAGAAGACATCGAAAAGATATGCTTTTCAACCCAAATGTGATCTAATTTCAAGAATATTCGATGTGTGAAAACCCAAGAAGTATTTATCTTTGAGCTAAAAATATTCTTTTTTCACGCATTTGCCAAAGGATTCTGATGTTTTTTGCTGAACACCCACAACTCGGTGTCTTTTATTGGCCTCATTGTATTGTCAAGGATTTCCTCGGTGTTTAATGCTCATCAGATTATCTAGTTTTCTTTTAATTCTAAAGTCATCATGATATAATCATATAATCAGAATCGCATGATCATAAGGAAACATAATCACTACAGAACATTCTTGTAATGGAAAACAAAAGGATTTAAAACATCTAGGCGTTCTTTCTTTGATTCAGCACCTTGTAATACGCACTGCACCTTTTTAGCCTGTAAAATTAATAGAGTTTTAATGTAACAGGTACCATCATGAAAATTAGCATGTTGATCAACGGTATGAGCTGCAAACTTCCAAAACTCTGTTTTGTTTACTTTTAGAGCAATTTATCAGTGTTGAGAAATAACGCGTTTAATGGTTTTATAAAAAGATATTATGGTTCTTTTCTCCCCAAAGGTATGTTCCCTTTGAGTAGGAATCTTTGACTCTGAAATGGCGCCTTTTAGATAAAAACCAAGAACAAACTGACCCTTGTAAAAGTATACTCTTTTTTGTGTGTAGCTAGCTTGGTCAGTCAATCCTTGTTGTATGTTTTTGTCTTCGTTGGGTAGGTTTGACCCGCATTACTAATCACGGCTTCGAGCATCCAAGCACAATTTTTTATGACCCAGCCCTCATATCACTGGCTGAATTACTTTGCTAAAATCCCCCAAGAAGCAACAACAAATCATGATTCTGTTATTCATATAACCTTTATTCTACAGTATACACTTGGTATATCCTGTTGATAAAGAATATTAAGTACAGTAATGTTTGTTGACCCTGTATCTATAAGAATATAAATCAGCGAGAAAGGAAGTTAGTCAGAGAGTGAATCATTGAAAAAATGTCAATCAGTGATAAAAGTCAATTAGCGAGAAATATACAAACAATCGATTTGAAAATAATCTTTCTGCTAAAATAGTTTGCAATTTCGTACTTCTTTGTGATAATGTTTAATTGCTTTTGGCTCCCTCTATTCTTTTCCTTTCTCGTTTTCTTCCAGCTATTTTTCTGTCCCTTTTACTTCTTTTCCCGTCCTACACTTTCCGTCTGTTCATATCTTCCCTTTCTATTGCTCTGTTCTCTTGCTAATGATAACATCGCTGCAAGTTTCTTCGTAAACTTCTTCTTCCTCTGATTAACGCAACAATCCATCTTCTAGCTTCCTTTTCCACTTTTAAGTACTCTTCCTTCTTTTTCTGTGCCCGACTCATAACTCTATCATTCAAACAAACGTCTCCTTCTTTCTATTTTCCGCTATTTATATTGTTTCTCACTTTGCTTCTTTTACTTTTCTTCTGATTCTCTAATGTATAATTGCAATTAATACTTCTATGTATATTGTCTTATTCTCTTTTTCTTCTTCTCTTTAATCTTTTTCTGCTACCAGCATTTCAATGCGATGTCCCATTTGATCCCTTCCTCTTTCTTTTTTTGTCTTTTATTCTTGTAGTACAACCTCTTCTGTTGCAAAGTTTAAAGCTCGTTCTTCATACCTTCTCTTCACTTCTTTGTTATTTGATTTGTTTGGAGTTCCTTTCGTGGAAGCTGTAAAACTCTTAATAATTCGACAAGTAGACGTATATATATTTGCACCATCTCAATTTTTCATATACAGTTATTGTTTATTTTGATACTGTGAAAATAAGGTTACTAAAATTGTTTACGAAAGTGTTGTTTCCGATAAAATTTTTCTATTCTGTATCGTGAAAGAAGAAAAGCCTGGCTTGTTTTCTGATTAGAGTGGGTTCATTAATTTCAGTATAGTATAAACCGAAGAGAGAGAAATATAGGCTTATACTTCTTAAAGGACATCTTTTAATATTTAAAATATACATTGCTTATATGACACATCACATTTTTGCGTTGATCGCTCCAAACAGAATGCAAACAATATTTTTTTAGCATTATTAATGTATCTGTATACACCCCCTCATCGATGCGAGTTCTGAATCTACCTTGCACTACCGTATTACGAACTGGTTTGTGTTTTTGCTCGTCATGCACGTAAAGGGGCTTTGTCTTGAGGTACCTCAGGCTTTTACATGTATTTCCTGTAAGTCTTTTACTAGAGATGTCAATTCCCGAGTTTAAGGGTTTTCACACCAAATTGTCTCTAGTCGGATAGGAGCATGAAATCTAAAGCAAAAAAACAGCACAAAGCTCATAACACATTAGATTAGTGTGTAAACATTCTCTTGCTGTAACTGTAACATTTGTCAGTAGTTTGCTTGATGTATAAAGAAAAACTCCTAATGGCAATGTTTGATATGCCCTAAAAGCCGAGCATAAAGATTCCTAAATGATGACGTCATAAGAATCTATTTTTGGATTTTTTGAAACAAAAAGATCCCTTAATCTGAAAGAGCATCATCTAATACCATAAATCTGCAAAACTTGGTTAAAAGTGTGACGAATTGGCTGAGATATGGCCACGTTGGCACAGGCTATTTATCGTTAAACCTCTATTCGTCATATGGTAATTATATCGTAATTTGGCCTCTGTTCATATCTTTCGCAAGCTTCAAATCATTAATTGGCCACGTCTCATACGACTTTTGACATATTTAGCTGATTTTGCTTATTTAGAAGTTTTTAATGATGTTCGTTTATGTTAATTGTTTTGTGTCATTTCAAATGACAACTCTATTGCAGGTAGCTTAAACTAACTGCTTATAGATGATAAGTCCCTTCTTACTCTGCTTTCTGAAGATACTTGCATGGGAGTATTTACGTGGCACAATGATGTATTATAGTTCATAATGGATCAAAGATATGATTTTTATTGTTCAAGATGGATCAAAGATATGATTTTTTATAGTTCAACAAAGATATGATTTTTTATAGTTCAAGATGGATCAAAGATATGATTTTTTATAGTTCAACAAAGATATGATTTTTTATAGTTCAACAAAGATATGATTTTTTATAGTTCAAGATGAATCAAAGACGTGAAAACAATATACAATGAATATAGCTAAGGTAATGCAGTGAAGTAGGAAGACAATGTGTTAACTTTTAATCTAGTTCATCCAAATTCTAAAACATTGTCTCGCAGAAATATAATTCCTCTTCCAATTTGAACTGAATGCAATCTTAGTTTCAATTGTTAGAACAATTTAATTTCAAAAACATTTCTTTGAAAATTTAATTTTTCAGGCTGAGTGTACGAAATTGTATCCTCTGTCCCCATAAATATATTGACTGAAAAGCCAAACTTGCAGATAGGACTGATTGGCTAGACTGTTGGTTATCAACATAGTTTGCAAGGCCGGAATTTGCCAGTGATGCCATCAATGATAATTCTTTCAACAACCTTTAGAAAGATATTTGCCAGGTATTTATATTCTTCGTCCTCCACGTATTTATATTCTTCTTATTGTCTTGAATTATTATGAAAAATATATTTTTCTTCCATATTTTTCGAGCTCATCCTAAATTTTCAATGAATCATCAGTATTTTTTTCCATATTTATTTTTTTACAGATCTAAACTTTGTTATACATAAATTTACATTATCAAAACGTTACAACGAGCCGAAATATTGTTTTGAAGTTTTGTATTGATGACATTCATCACAAATAAATTCATCACAAATAAATTCATCACAAATAAATTCATCACAAATAAATTCATCACAAATAAATTCATAACAAATAAATTCATCGACGATAAATTCGTGCAGTTACAAAGGAAACTTTATTTAAGCTTCGTCTGGATTCAGGCTAGGCCCAGTGCTACTGCATGTTTTGTCGGGCCAAGCATACACTAAATCATACCGGGATTCATAGTAAGTATGAATCTCGCAAAATATTTTAATGTTTGATACTCACTGTATTCCCTGTACCTGAACCGAATGACGTCCAGCTGTTTCCCTTGCACCCATTTGCACACAAGTGCATAGATGCCAGGTGCGTGTGACCTTGGGCCTTTGAACTATAGCCCGTCTGTAACAAAAGGTCAAAGGCGACCTTCTGGTCACAATACGGTTCACGTGTCAATCTGCAAAGTACCAGCCGCTTACCTAAGCGCGTTCCTACAAACTTTATTGAAATTTGATGAAACCGTTTTACTTCATTTTAATTTTATTATTCATCTTTTTCAGCTCCTTTTGTTTTATAATTTTTTATGCGGGATAAAGCATTAAAACTATACATTGAAGCTTCTCATTTCCAAAAAAATTGCATTATAATAACTAACTGCAAATTTTTCAAAAAGCCATCGATGGAACTGTTTATTCATCCAGAATTATGAAAGTGGGAGCAATCTTGAGGTTGGGATTCCTTTTCCAAACCTTTCAATGTTGGGAATCAGTTTTTTCTTGTAGCGACTTTTAGAAAATTTTTCTGGCGAATCTAGCACTTGTGTTTGGAAATAAAGATATCACGATATAGAAATATTGTCGTGTCTACGATTTATTCCGACGCCCTGATGATTCAAATTATCCAGTTGCCTGATGATCGCATTAAGCGTGAAACTCAAAGTAGCAACTAAGAACCGTCCTGTTTCAAACATGAAAAGGGCATCGAGCAATTTTTGACAGGCCGGGTGTTCACGGTCCAAATCATATGAAAATAAATATTGGAAACTGTAGGAAGGGTTCTGATACCAGGATATTAGTGAAATTAGAATCTTTGGAAAGTCTGTTTATTTGCCATTTATTATGATACGGCGTTTACCTGATAGATCACAACAAAGTTGCTTGGATGCAGCAGAATTGCAACCGAGTTGCTGGGACGCAGCAAAATCGCAACCGAGTTACTGGGACGCAGCAAAATCGCAACCGAGTGACTGGGACGCAGGTAAATCGCAGCTGAGTCACCGGGACTCCAGAATGTTGCCCAAAACCTCTATTGTTAAAAACTGGTTTGAAAGCAAGATCGAATTTCAGGTATGCAAACATTCTCACACATTTCCATAGCTATAGGTTATTGAAGACAAATACAGCGTACTGGTCTTGTAAATGGCCTCTCAGACATGTGTGTTTGCAACTGGAAATCTATTTACTTTCGCTCAAACGGCCAACGCACTGAGCCAACAGACTCTCTAGAGCAATCCTTGGGATACAAGTTAAAAGTTACGCTAGAAACTAACAAGTTGAGATCTTGCAAGCGGACTGTACTATCCGGGCTGTATTTCCTAAGTCAAGATGAAAATCTTTGATAGTTAACTAGTAAAGTAAGTTCTCCTCTATTTCTTTCTTCTAAATCGTCATTTCAGTCTTTGTAAGTTGCCCTTTTTTAAGAGCTTCCCCCTTGTTCATCCATACCAAGCCTTACCCTTTTTGAGAGTTTCCATTTTGTTCATTCATACCAAACCTTGCCCTTTTTGAGAGCTTCCCCCTTGTTCATCCCTTACCCTAAATCATCGTTTCGACATATACGACATCATCAAACAGGCCAACAAAGGAGTAAGTTGAAATTTAAAGTATTTTGCACCTTCCTAACTGGTGCAAATTTATACAGTGCATTATACCTTCACCTCAATGACGTAAACTAGCGACTTTTGAGTGCGGAATATGTCACTAATACCATTGTTGACTGGAAACCTACCCAGATCTGCTCACCAAATCTTTAATTTAACATTATTACAATAGTACGGCCCTACAATGCAGCTACACTTGGTCTAGGTTGTTATCACCATGGGTTGCCATGCTCTTAGAGACTTGTTATCGCTTCTCGCATTCGTACAAGTGATTCTCGTACACTAGTGATATTTAAAGGAGGAGGAAAAGGCTCCAGTATCGATTTAAGTGGGTAGAAAACTGTTATTTTTTGAAAGGCAGACTGTTTGGAAATGTATCAGTTTTAACACAGGGCATTTCCCAAGCCTTATTGGTAGATGAAAGTTTTCACAACCAAGTTTTCTCAAGTTTAAGCATATTACCATACTTTTCAGTGTTCTAGAAAAGTTCATGATTTTTAAAGATTGAAGGACCAGAAGACGGAATTCTTCAAAACAATCATATTTTGATAAAAATTGGCTTTAGATTATCAGATTTAAAGGAATCTTATGTTTTTCGCGAATAACACTGCGTAGTTTCTTTGCCGACAGGCTTTCCTTTCAATTGCTTCGATAACTTCGTTTCAGTTTTATTCAATTTGGCTAGCCTTAAAATGTCAAGATTGTTTTGTTTAAATTGACTGTTTGTGAATCTTTGGTTAAGCCTATTTGGCTAGGCAGCTGAATTTTTGTAGAATTATCGTTGTCATGAGGATAAAAATTTTTGGAAGAACGATAGGCTAGTACCCCAAATATTTGTCTTTAAAGTTATGCGTATAAAATTAATTTAGATTTTTTTGACATGATAAAATGAGTATGATATAATTATCTCCTTATTCTATTAGTTTTGGTATCGGAGGTGACCGTACGGTCTCCTTAATGGAATGTGATTGATATAGTACTTGCAAAGTTATGGCGATGTAAAGGAGAAATAAGGCATTTTGTAAGAAGCATGATAGCTAGACAACGTCAACCCAATGTATTCGCATATTTGATAGAATACAACCAATCAAAACAAGGCTTTGGCTCTTGACTCATTTAATGGGTGCATTAAAAAACCTCTCAACTTTAGTATAAATTCATAAATATATTATCACTAAATATAAACTTCGTTTTGCTATGTTTAAAAACGAGCTCTGCTATTTACAATAAAACTTACATTCAGTATATGTACTTCAAGTACTTTACAAATAAAGATAAAAGTCCTTTCGTTCAACTGTATCGAGTGACTCCTAATTTTAATGCATGACGGGCAACATTGACGAAGAACAACATTTAAAAAATCAACATTTATCCGACCTTACACTGTCTAAGGTAACCGTTATAAGCAAGGCCGGAATTTACTAGCGGATTCGGGAGGCTCCCCCGGTCTGACTTAGCGATTACTTTTAAAAGGTGTATCTAGCTTAGTCCTTTTAAGATTCTATAAAAGAGCAGTTTTGAATGCTCAGATTTTGAATGTCGCTGTAGTAGTCTAATTGGATGCTATTCAGAGCGAACTGGTTGGTAACAGTTTGATCTTTTGTGTCCACGAAACCCGGGTGTGAGAACATTCTTGAGTGTTCTTCTTTGTTCAGATCGTACCGATAATCAGCCAGTAACCGCATCAGGTTTTGTATGTGACAAACAGCTGAGTTCAAAATGTCTACTTTCCGCATTTTTGATGCGGTAAGGTATTTTGGAAGTGACTTCAGCAATGCATCGTAACCATTTGACATTCTTCCGACTCTAGCTCGTTCTCTCGCATTAGCAACAGTCCGCCTTTGGTTCCGGATCTCTGCTGGAAGGTCGCTTGACAAGTAGCTTCGTCTATTGGACTTCTTTCTCTTAGCCGGCTTTATGGTCGTATTTTGTCTCGGACAAACAGGTTTAGAGTCGCTCACATCGTTGTCGAACTTCAGTGCCATTGGTGTTATTTTATGTGTTTTTGCATACAATGTGTCCATTCGCACCGGAGTTGCCTCACTATGCATTGGCAAATATAATGCCTCATCCGGTACTTCTTGCTCTGTAAATGCTGCACCTGTAGCTGCTTTCATTTCTAGAGTTTCCAGATCCGGAACTGTTTGAAGAGGGTCCTCGTAAAATCGTTCGGCCATCGTCGACAATGCAGAGAATTCGCAATTGTCGAATTCAAAAGCACAATTTCTTCTAGCTTTTAGCGATATAGATTCCATATCTAAGTGAGGAAAAGAAAAAGGTTAAGTTCTCTAGTTGACAGCAATAAGCGAATGCATTAAGTGCAAACCCAACTACAACAAGCGGTCTATTGTTTTTGCTGCCTCATAACTCGGCAGGCTCTACAGAGAAAAAAGACATTTTCATAACATTTGAAAGAAATACAACTTTTTCCTGCTAATGCAGCTTGAGCAGTATGTTTTTGCTTTCCCTTCGAAGCAATTTTGCTATTCAAAACTCTCAATTGGAACCGTCCGTTAACGACTGTTTTTTCATATCCAAGGTCTTATGATAATTAGCTATTGCAAATTAAGTTTATTGTCATATCTACCAAATGCATTCGAAGTGTTATGTATGCAACATCCTTTGAAGATCTTTAGAATTGCCCTAATTAACGGCACACGTTCGGTGTAATTATACCAAACTGCAGCAATATATTTTTTCGTGTCTTTCAATTGTATATTGAAATCATTTATAGTTTGTTTTATCTTACTGATTAACCAATTTACATAGCTTTTCACTGTGAAAAAAACATGAAAACTTGTCAATTATTTATTGAATGGGTGTTTGTCGAATCGCACGAGGGGGTGAGACCTATATTGCACTATGCCCACACAAAAGCCACCTGTGACATAAAGTGACGCAGCCTACTTCAGAATACGTTATTTCAAAGAGAATTTTTAAGATTGTCCTTTAAAAAAATTTTTGGCTACTAATTTCATGATTTGAGAGTTCTCTCTAACTATTTTATACAAAAGAAATAAGCTCGTTTCGTATCGAGTTTTTTCACTTGCAATTTCAGAAATTTCACACTTGATCATATGATAGTTTCTCTCTCTTTATGCTGTTCAAAAATTTGACTCATTACGTAAGTTAAAATACACCTCTAAAACGATAACAATGGAACTTCCTGAAGGGGAGATAAGCTGCTTTTCGTTTGCAGGCAGTTTATTGTCTTCAACAGAAGTGCAAATAAATTGAAATTATGTCAACTTGAAGACTTCAAATAAAAAAACTTGGCTTAGTTCTTATTTACTATTCAACGGAGATGCTTTTATTTCTGTTTTCTTAGCATTCTTTTGTCTTTCAAGTAATGTTTGCAATAACTATTGATTGTGAAAACTTCCACGAATGTGGCCAGCTATTCACCAATGTTTGAGGTGCCTTGCCTGGTAGACCTGAATGTGTAGCTTCATTCACACGCTAACTTGCCTTATCGTGGATGATTTTTAACCCTTCGAATGCGTAGGTTGATTCGCGTAGGTTCATTCACACGCTAACTTGCCTTATCGTGGATGATTTTTAACCCTTCGAATGCGTAAGTTGATTCGCATAGGTTCATTCACACGCTAACTTGCCTTATCGTGGATGGTTCTTTCTGTCCAGTACCTTTTAGTGATTTTATTCAATAAAGATTATTCATTAAAGTATCATCGCCGATGTAAAATCATCGCCATGTTTAGTTTTGTTGATATTCTTATGCCCTTTACAATGTTCAGTACAAAAAATGACAGCTACTACGACACGTGAATGACCAAAAGAAAAAGGATCTCTATTCTCTATATTGCTAAGTCTTATGAGTAGATTGTTTTAATCGCGTCTTTATCTAAGATTAGCCCGAATCAGGCATTCAGAGAGCGGAGTTTCTTTCACTGAACCCCCCTCATCCCCAGGGAGGCCGGTATCTCTTTACGGAAAGCCCGGATTTTCGCGGATCACGAATGGACGGCAGTTTTAAAAGATGGATTCTAAAATATAATGGTAGACCAATTTAGTCGGCATACTAGGAACAATGTGTTGAATGGCCATCGGGAGCCGATTTTTTAAGATAAGCCCTTGATTATTTTTCAGTAGCCCAAATAAGAAGTTTATGAATGACAATGTGAAAAATACAATCTTGAACACATGTTACTTTTCTTTTCCTGGTATGCTCGGCGATCTTTTTGGCACAATGCCCTGTATTTTATACCGACCATTTGAAAGATCGAACTATGAAATTCAGAAAAGGCAGATAAACATCAATTATTCTTTAATCTTCAGCTCCGTCTTGCAATTTTGCTAATTGTTTAAACAAACCCATTCTGAACTTGATCCTCCCAGCTCGGTACTCATTTCTCCCCGGCGGATTTTCTTACGGAATACACGAATGGTATCAACAGCTGGCGATTGGAATCAAAACGTAAAAGTAAAACATTATCCTTACTTTTGCAATAATAGAGAAGAACTATTATGTGAGATATCTGTTTCTCATTGAAGGCAACAGAAATTGTGGCTTTTTCTCCACTTTTAAGATGCAAACTTTGTCAGTAAATATCACGGCTATTTCCAATCGCCATACACGCTTTTTTTAAAGGAAACAAAGGTCGATGTTGAGTACTCCAGTTTCTTAATGTTCTGGAAATTTCAATACTCATGAAATGTTCGTGACCTTTTTATCACGTCAAGAGATTCGCTTTCGTGCTAATGCTGTATTTAGATGCGGGAAGTATATTTTTATCCCTTGTGTCTTAAATTCTAGGCCAACGGGGCAATCATGTTCTTGGATTTTAGAAAATTTCGTTGTTCTCAGTTTTATCACAATTTAACAGTTTGTAGTATTGGAGTACTTAATTTTTTTGCTTCGAGTACTGAGATTTCTTAATCTTTTCTGACTGTCCAGTACTCGTTTCTTATAGCCAGTTTCTTATGAAAAATGAGTGTACTCTATGTCATAAGTAATTCGCGAACTACTTCTTAGATCGCCCTCAATAAAATACCCAACATTTTGATAATCAATTTTACTTAAGACAGGCAAAGGAATTTGAGTGAGCTGCTGTGCTGATGGGTGGTTCTTTGGTTTGCTCGTCAACTAATGCTCGTCAAGAAATCAAAGAGTTACCTACACATACAGAGGCATCATTGCTAAACATTCTGTCACAGAATATTTTGCTTGTTAGCAGACAAGTTCACAAAATGCATCATTTCAGCCTTTCTAAATCAATTTAAACAAATTCTATTTGATTTATTTCCTCTTCTAATCTATTAATTCTTTCAAAATATCTCAGTTTACTGTCAGTAATCTTCGTTTATTACAACTTCCTTTATCACACAGCCCTATATTTACAAAAGTCCAGCCGCCGTATTCAAACGCCTTTTGTCGGAAGATGTCGCGCACTCGTGATAAATAGAGTCAGCATATGCTGATTTTTTCGTATATTGACAGCGGATTCTTAATAATCCGTGCCAAATTGGCTCGTGGCATTGAGACTTCTAGAACAATGATTTTCATTTGTCAAGCATAAAGGATATTTTCACAAGAGCCGAATATCTGTGGCATACTGCGATCGTAGTTGAAATCTTTAAGCAAATTCCTTTCCGTTAAAACTATCATTCCAGTCAAAGCAACAACAGCAAAATTTCTTTTTTAACATCTATGCAACAGCAAAGAGTTTGAAGTGTCAGATAGATTAGTATTAAATTGTATTGATCTCAAAGAAGGGTGCATTCAAAAATAGAGGTTTCAACGGAAATTCTAACAGTAAGCATACAAACGGCAGTGACTAAATCGGGAGTTCTTCAATATTTTTAAGGTAAAAAATATAGTAAATTCCTTATCTTAATTTGCATGGCTATAAGGGTAATTAAAATCATTTTCATTTTAGAAAAGGTAAAATTTTCACTTTGAGGAAAAAGTTTGGATAGATGTAATTGTCAGCGTAATATGTCAATATCTTATTCCAAGCCTGAGTTTAATACATAAAGATCGAAAGTTTTTGTTTCTACAAATCGTGATAAAGATAATCAGAATTTCACTTTATCAAATTATAAGTAGACATGCGGGTGGTCATTCGACTGAAAAAGGCACGCGTATGCCAATATGGAATGAAGCTATAGAATTTCAAGTTCAGCTAGACTGCAAAAGCCTCGGCTTAACGTGAAAAAGCATTCAAGAATTGTTTAGATTATCGTTTAGCAAAAGTGATCAAATAGCTCGTTCCCTTTTCCATTGCCTAGGATAATTCAATGCAGATTCGATGTGAGCATTCCTTACATAAATATAAAATCGAAATCATATCAGATTATATCATATCAAATTTCACTGTGGTCAGTAGCGCTCAGATTAGCAAAATGGCAAACTTGATACAGAAAATAATCTCAATCGTCTTTAAGAAACGCTTGGTACTGGTTTTGAATATAAAAAAGACTTTTTTCTATAAATTTGAAGCAATGACGTTGGCATTACACTACCTTGAAAAAACTATAACCCATCTTTAATTAAAAAGCTAACAATTATATTGAAGCTCAACACATTCTGATTGACATTTGAAGCAATCCCGTTAAAGCTGATTTTCTATTTTATCAATATTTTCTCAAAATTTTTCCAAAATTCAAGAAACTTTTAAAAAAATTTAAGGACACAATTTCCAAAGAATTGATTAATACTCGGTGACTTCTAAGTATCTAACAATAATGAGTGTAAAGTGAAAAAGTCAGTAGAAAAATTTTACCTTTATATATATTTGTCGTCAATCTGCAGTCAGTATTCGTACTGTGTATTCGTTGTCACGCAACTGTGTATTCGTTGTCAGTGCTTCCAGGGCTGCCCTCTTATACTTGATGCCTAATTTGCATAGCAATAGGGCGGTCATTCGCTCTGGGCATCTCCACCTCTATGTCCCATGAGAGGCAGTTGCACCAAACAAAGGACACAACAAAGAGTAAACAATCGATGTCTCCGTTTGAATACGGGAGTTTTCAATGTTATCAAGGCTTTTTACTTTAGGCCGTCCGTGTGTTGTGACAATGGCAGTTTACTTTATCATGCTGAGAAGGGCTATATTTCTTTAATCTATATATATATGTCGATGGATAAACGACGTCATTTTTCGTCACTTTTGAGCTTTTTCCCAAGAAGGCATTTATTAGTATTTAGCCAACCTTAAGAACAATGAAAGCTGAAAGGGCTCAGCTACAAGCTAGAAATATTCCCAAACTAAATTTAAGATGTACCATTTTCTACATCAGATTGATTTATTTAATTTTTTACCGTTTTCATCCTATAAAACCTTTGTGTAAGGATGCTATACAATTTCATATTACCTGGAAGTAATATGAAGTTGAGAACACAGAAAAACTTAACATCGCAAAGCCCTATACAAGAGTTTATGCGATGTTTCAGTTTTTTATGCGATGTTTCAATACAAATGAAAAATTTCCACGTTAAACTGCATTTGTGCTTTAAACACAATTCTCCACTGATAAAAATCGACAAGGTTTCAGCCTTTTCGGGGTTTGATTTAGTTGGAATAGAGGTCAGTTAGAAATTACTGATAGAAATTGTCACAATTAAGAGCTCCTTTGAAACAGCCAAATACTGAAAAAGACATTGATAATAAAAATCTGCTTCCATAACCCCCTCTTTAGATGTTCCCCTTTCAACTCCATTGCAAAGCGCGCTTTGGACTGGGGTATGGTATGGTTTGGTTTGATTTATGGTTTGGTAAAGCAGTCTAGATATGCGCCAGATCGTCAATATTCTTCAAATCACGGTTCGGCCATTCTTTTTGTGTCTTACAGTAAAGCTCCGAATCGGCTCCTATCTGCATGTTAAAATAAAGTGTAAATGTTCTAAAAATTATTTGTTAATCGCTCCAGACATTTTTTTGGGATTTCTTTACAAGTTCTGCTTTGCAAACGCGCGCATTAAACTATTTGAAAAATTCTTCGTACTCTTTATCAACTCTGTATCAAGATGGCAAGACTTGTGTTATATTTCATTGAAACACACAAACACCATTATTGAAGAATAGTTTACTATACGTTTACAGTCGATTGTAACCGAACAAGGTTTTGGTGCCGCAAAACTTGAAGGTGGCACGAAATGGCGGAAGCCAATGGCGGAAGCATAGTGTACTTAAGCACTTTTCATCTAACATTTTTCTGGGTATAAACTTCGGATAATGACTGAAAGTAAGCAGAAAATTTATATCTAGTTGTGGATCAAAAGTTACGATAGAGGAAAAAGACACGATTGGATGTTTTTGTTCGAATCAGCGACAGCTACTATAAAACCTTTTTCATTTTTAGTGGGTTCAAAATTGGTGTGGTCAATAAAATGTGGTACTCAACTATCTTTCCTCTCCTGGTAACTCTGTTTTCCAAAACATTTTAAAACATGTCATTTGTCAACTGATAACAAAAGCGTGTCATAATTTGTATATGTAAATTTTAAACAATTAATGCCTACATTTTACGGTATATAAACACATTCTAATTAAAAAACAGGTTCTTGAATTTTATCTGGATTTTTCAATTTTTGCCTGACTGCATTTTGAAAACCAAAAGGCAATGAAATGTTTTCAACCTCCTCCAGGTTCTAAATTTTTGTTCACCTTTTTCAATTTTTTTTTGCTTCTATAACCCTCCTCCGGCCAGTGGCCGTGGGGCTGCAATATTTTCAATTATAGAAGCAGTTACCCTCAACTGCCCCATTAATTAAACCGTGGTACACAAATGGATATCGTTTATCTGTTGGCGCTGTCGATTACCCAGCTGCCAATGTCATTTGAAATGGTCCTCAAGTGATGTTTTTCTCTTAGTGGAGTGTTTATTTAAAATCAACAGAGGCTTTAGCAACTACCACACCCTTCATGTTAACCAACGGTTGCCATGAACGTCTGCCTATTGGTTAAAGATTGCTTCCATCTCTACCCATAGATATATTGCCAAATACTTTCGACGGCTTTGTAATGTTGGCTTAGTGTCCCAGAATTTTGTAATTTTCGAGTTAGAGATTAGCAAAGCACACAGTAACAGGGGCGAGGTATTTGTATGAGTTTTTATCTATTTATTTCGATATCTGAGTCTCGGTGATGTAAATAAGGTTCGTTTGCATCTAAGGATATCATTTGAAAATGAGGTCTGCAAAGTTTGTTGCTACCCTTGTTGCAACTGTAGACAATGGGAAATATATAATATTCTTGAAAACCATTTAACACAATCCAAACACAATCTATCGATATAATGATTTGTATAATACTTTGGCATTTCAGTCAATAATTTTTTTATAAACTGATAGGAAATGTAAGTGGGAGACAAAACCTGGGTACGACTGGAAATTTTTAGATTAAATGGCTACAATTATCAAGCCATAGCTGATTTATGTATGTTTGTTGTTGTTCTCTCTCGTCGTTTTGCGGTGTTAATTATTTACTACAATTATGAACCCCGTGGTCGGTACCTTTATTCAACTTGTGGTCGGGCCCGCCCCCTTTACTACCTTTACGTAACTTGGTCTTTTACGTTACGTAACTAACTGCCTTTTTTAAAGCAAAAAATCAACCAAACATGAACCAGTACAACATTTATTTTGTATTGTACAAAAAGTTTATACTTCAGAAGAAATCTACTGGCACGCGCATACACGTTTTCTATTTGAAATCCAGATGCCATTAAGGAAATCATAAAAAGGCTTTTCATTTCCTAAAGCCTGTCGTGTTCTTTTCCAATGTTGCCGCTTTTTGAGTTGATTATTATAAACAAAAGAAAATGGACACAGCCTGCCATCTTCAACCGGTTGCTTTTTTGACTTAGAAAATAATAAGATGGTTATTTTCATGGCAATTTCGTGTCAATTTGGAGATTGTTGATTATTACAATTCAATTCAGGGTTAACATGGCACCGTAGATTTTCGAAGCATTACATATAGCATATAGTATGAAGTGGCAAAATGACGTCATCACAAAAACACCACATAACCTAACAACATGATGGCAGACATCTAATACCGGAGATGATAACAACTCAGGGTCGATAGATTAAGGGGCTGGGGCCTTGGCTAACATTTCACTATTAGCAATTATGGGCTTTTTTATTCTAAACCGTTTAAAGCTTTATAAATATTCACTTTTTGCTAGTTTTACGCCTCTCTGAATTCAAAATGTTTTCTGTTCCTATTGGCATCATTGTGTACGTTGGGTATGTTTTTAGATTAGATATTTTTAGATATATTATCTTGTCATTGGCAAATAGCGGTTTTACCATCACGATGACTATTTGCTACACTAAGGATAGATGAAGCAAGCAACTGCTAACTTGAGTGGATGTTTCAAAATTGATTGAATTTTTGCCAGTCTCTTGTTAATCTCTTGTTATGATTTCTACCCCGTTTACACGATGTCGGTATCACACCAGCATGTAACGACACCGGCATGTAACGAAACCGGCATGTAACGAAACCGGCATGTAACGAAATCGGCATGTAACGAAACCGGCATGTACAAAATTCCGGCCCTTATGCTACCATTTGAGGGTTGATGTAAGAAAAACTACCATTTGAGGGTAATTTTTTAACATTTTAGCTTTGGCCGACCCCCCTGTTAGGCCATAGTAGGAGTCCCCCCACGGATGCACTTTACGCCCTTCACAGATAGGCCATGATAATAAAAATAATAATAATAAATAATAAATAAAAATAAATTCTCCGTTTCGAAGCAGCTACTATAGCACAAACACAGAATTGCCAGGAAAGACGTCATGTGCAGTATAGTGCCACAGGCTAATTTTCACTTAGATTTGAAAAAGTTCAACCAATCTCTCTATTTCTATCAGGCCTTTTGCTTTGCTTTTTAGAATTTGTTCCATTCCTGGAAGGTGTCTTTTGAATTTTTCGCATTGCCATGAATGTTCTAAATTTTCTTCATGTAATCCACACCTTCTGCAACTTTTATCATCATGTTTTTCTTTGTAATTAGCTTTTAAATCGGTCATGTCTAGTTTTGATTTAGCAACGTTGGTCCCTTTTTATGTTTGATATTTATTTTTTTTCCAAAATTACCTTTTTAATGAACCCCTTTTCTGTTTTATCGCAATTCTTAAGATGCTGCTCTATCCTTGATTTTGCTTTTCACCATTTTTTTCCAATCTTTCCTTGATAGTTCTGAAATTTGTTTTTCTGAGTATTTTATATTTAGTTCAATCAGGTCATTCGTTATTTCATCATACCAACAATTTCTTAGGTTAAGGTGCTTTTGTTCTTGGTATACTTGTTTTGTTGAACGCGTTTCTTTCATGTTTATTAGTTTATGTAGGTACAAAATCTTCTTAGTCTTATTCGATAAACCATTGACAGAAGTCCACATTTATATATGGGTTGCTTTTGGTATTGAAGTGGTTAGGGTTATCACAACTTTTCGTACATTTTCATAAATTTTTAAAATTTTTGGCTCATATTAGTCCATGTTTGTCCGCCATTACCAGCACTGAAAACGTATACGTGTCTCAGCTCATGCAGAATCGCATGCCCATGCAGAAACGCGTAATACACCGGCATGAAAAGGTGTTAAAAGGTGAGCACAGGCTACGTATCACAAGTACACCACCTCTGATATGTGTCCATACACAATTTCCATCTACCATTGTTCCCAAAATGCGAGTAATCTGCTACTACTTTCAGAAGCTTCGTTTACCAGCACAATGAGATTGTCTTGATCTCGAATATTATATGTATCATCATACAGTTTGTTGCCTGGCTACGTATCTTTTTTCAGAATTCCATTTGTGTGTTATCCTTGGACGGTTTTGTTGGAGAACCTCGAGGTTTTATTTATCTGGCTTTGAT